GCCAGCATCCACAGCAACCAAAAGCAGAGAGGAAAGGTATGAGCAGTTAAACTTTTACAACTCAATCAGGCCGGGCCCTGGACTCTTCCCGTCTGGCAGGAGGCTGGGCGCCCAGGCTGGCTTCAAGCTCAGGCTGCCGAATGCTGACCTCACAGGTTTGTCCAGATGGCCCTTTACCAGCCACAACTGAAAGCTCAAAACAGTTAGGTATGGTGTACGTCTTACCAGTCTTTTAACTTTTTCACACACGTGCACTGACACTGATACACTGAAAATGACTGTAGCCAAAAGAGGCTAATAGGAAACAGCAGGGTTTAAGGCCCTGTCCAGGTAAGCTCTTGCCACTGAACTTCCCTGTACAAACTCCAGGCACCATGTAGGTAAGGACAAGTTGTTTTAGGATCCAGCTGGTGTTCCTCCAGTCCTGGAGACAATGTCAGTTTTGGGAGAAGAAAGGTAAAGAAGCACTGAGTCAGAAGCTTGCACGTGACACTATTAATAATGAGCTGCGCAGGGCCAGTTATTGGAAACTGATCTCCTCCTTATTAATGTGGTCCCGCAATGCAGAGGAAAGATTTCTCCATGTTCTAGAATGCAAACAATGTTTTAATCTTTAATTATATTCTCAATTTCGGCTCTTCTGGAGAGCTACAGCCACCTAGGCTGAGGATTATTTCTTTATTACATAGCCTCTCTGTGGTATTTAATGAATATTGTTACTTAATACTTGCCAGTAGGGGAAAGAAAGAGTCAGTGAATTTCCACCCAAAGTCTGGATGACTTTTTCCAAAACTCAGGAAGCGTGGAGACACACAGTCCATCTCTTGTGTGGGACAGGGGGAGAGGAGAAGCACGTGCTCAGAGTGAGCCACGGTGCTTGTCCTCATGAGCTCACAGACCTGCATTCCTACCCAAGAAACCTGGCTTACGCCGAACTCAGCTCCAGTCAATGGAGCTGACATTCAGACTTCCTACCATTATATGCATTAACAACTGTATAATCAAATTCTGCTCTCAGCAAAAGATCAACAATTCCAGAGGCAAAAAAGCAAGGCCAAGTAACCAAGAAAACCAAGGCCGTGCCGAGGCTGTGTGTACACAGTTATGCAAATAAGTTTTTGCAATAAAACTGCAAAAACCTGGAGTTTCACATCTGGATGATTTGGGGGACAGGGTAAGGGCTCAAAAATGAGCAACAAAGGAAGAGGTGATGATGTCCTGGCCAGCTGGGAAGGTAAGGGAGGGGCCTCTCAGCTCCCTGAGCACTGGCAGGCAAGCATCTGCCTCACCTGGTGAGACATCAATGGCAGGCCCCACTCATTGGCCACTTCACAAAGGACGGAGGTGTGGCTGCCTTGCTCCTGTGATTCCTGGGGGTCCTTACTTCAAGTCAAAGATAATAGGAGCCTCTGCCTTTCAAGTGGCATTCGCCCACATCTTAGGAAGGAGCCAGCTGTCCAGACAAACGCCGCGAGCCCAGTGATCTTGTGGGGACCAGTACCACAAGCCCTGTGAGTTCACGGCTTCTCAGGAGCCAGCGTGCAGGGCAGTAGCAGGAACAAAACCTCTTTCAGAAACCCCCAAATCAAGTCAGCGGCCCTGCTGACTTGTCATCCAGACCCCAAAACCCCAGAGGAGTGAGTGCGACAGGAAGTGTGGTCCCCCTCATGCAAAGGCCGCGGTGAGTGACGGTCTTTGACACATCTCCCTCAAAACAGAGTTCATCCCTCTGTGCCATGGAGACTCATCCCAAAGAACACAAGGGGTGAATGAAGCCCTGTGGCTTTTTGTTCTGGCTTGGCTGTTTGGCAGTACTGGGGATTGAATTCAGGACCTCTGGCTTACTAGGCAAGTACTCTACCACCAGCCCTTTTCCTATATTGATTATTCTCAAGATAGGGTCTCACTTGATCCCCAGACTAGCCTGGACTTGGAACCTCCTATTTGTGCTTCCCCTTGTCACTGGGATGGCAGGCACGTGCCACTGTATCCATCATTGTGCATCCCTCCCTTAACTTAGAATAAAGATATGTACCATCACACTCAGACATTAGTTGAGATCAAATTTCACAAACTTTTAGGCCCAGACTGGCCTCAAACCACAATTCTGGATCTCCACTTCTCAAATACCTAGGATTACAGGTGTGAGTCACAGTGCCGGGCTGGGATACTTTTCTCAGGGTAGGTCATAAAGAGAAAAGCTTCCACCTGGCTCTCATTCTCTTAGCTCACCAGCTACCATGTACTGAGGATACTCGTGCTCATGTAGCCTGTAAAGAGGCCAGTGGGAGGAGGACCCACAGCCCCCTGTCGACAGCTCCACCAGCTGGCCTGCAGGGCAGTGAGTAGCCTAGCAGCAAGTGTGGCTTCCGAGCCCAGCCAAACCTTCAGCTGATCATGACCCTGGACAGTCACTGAAGCCTCACGAGAGACACTGAGGCAGAACGGTCCACACAAGCCACTCCCAGACGCCATGGGAGAAGGATAATACTTGCTGTTGCAAAAACACTAAGTTTGGGGATAATTATTATGCAGTAATAGCTCATTAACACAGCAACCTAGAGGATCTGGGTGTTTCACTAGGAAGGCCAAAGGATTTCCTTATGACAGAGTTAACCGTGGTCATGTGCTTATAATAAAGATTCTATAGTTAGGAATCTTCAGGAGAATACAACCATAGCATCGGTATTAAAACACAAGATCAATATTCCATAGATCAAATTATGCTGCCTTACATTATGAGCTATATTCAATAATACATTAGGATAGAACATAAAACAACATTACAATACAATGTGGAAATACTTTGTGGAAAGTCTGGTTGTTAAAAATTACATATTAATGGGAAAAGGTGTAGAACAATATCCAACAATGTGTTCATAGTAACTTTCTCAGGATTATTTATCTTTTAAAATTTTTTAAATCTACGTTATACATACATTACCAGTATTCCATTTCCTTACCTAAAAAAATAATAACCTAAGTAGACTTGCAGCTCTGTCATAACCAATATCAAATCCAGTGTGATACATACTAGGAGCTCAAAAAACACGCCCTGGTAGGCTTCTGGCTACAGACCCTGTACACTAAGGAGTGCCCCGAAGGCTCAGTGAGTTAAGAAAGCAGCAGTCAATGGTCTGCTAGGTATAGGAAGTGATCTCATTAGTGTATTCTGCAGATACAGTGTCCACTTTTCTCTTTGAAAGACTTTAAGTGCTCTGAGTGATCTATATAAATTTCTAATGACAGTTGTGAACACCTCTCTCTCTCAGAACAGTGACTGTTGGTTGTATGGTGCTTAAAATAGTTTCTAAATGTCCTCGTAATAGCATGTCACCTGTAAACAGGTTTCAAGCCAATGCAAATTAACAAATGGTGAACAGATGGACTGAGAACTGACTTTTGTCAAGAGAGAGTTAGCAACAAACACTTTTGGCTCCAGTCTTATGGGACTGTTCGAAAGTCTTTCTCTTCTCGCCAAACAACGACTCAGAAGACAACCCATGCAGGGAAAATGACAGGTTACAAGGCCTGCCAGACTTCAGAGAGCTGAGCGCTGATGTGCAGAAGCACCAGATCAACATGTAAGCCTAAGCCACGACAGAGCGTAAGGCCTCATGAAGCTCTGTGCCCCTCACCTCAGCTTCAATAACATAAAATACAGCCCCTGGGCATGCACACGGAGGATGAGTCCACCAGTGGGCGGGCAGCCTGTTCAGGAAGCAAACACAAAATGCGCAAGAAATGTAAGAACCACAGAAAGGGTGGCAGATGAGTGGCCACCAGCTGGAGAAGGGGCCCTGCTCTTCCCCTCTTCTCCCTCCCCAACTTTCTGCTCAGAGAGGCGTTCTTTGGCCATGCTTCTTAAACAGGATGCCTTCCCACACTGTATTCCTATGATTCCCTTCCTGGCATTAATACTAACTGGAAGTTATGGTACTAGGGACCATGTCCATCTAGCTCATGTCCCACAACCATGCCTGACATACAGTAGGTACCATAAGTATTTGTCAACCAAAAAAGCTAAAAGAGATCTGGAGGGAAGGCAATCAAATCTTACATGCAGATAATCCCTTGGACCAAAGATGTAAACCCAGTTTGTAACTACGGACATGAGCAAAAGAAAATACAAGAAGAAAACAGTACAGGCTAGGATTATGTCCAACGTCCAAGCCCAGCCTTTAGAGTGTGTGGTCTCTCTGGGAAGTATGGATGCTGACAGAAAAACTACCAGCAAGAAGTGACTGCACTGTAATGAAAAGAAAGAATTAGACTAGATGAATCTAATAGATACTCTGTTGAGTTAACAAATTAAAAAGCTGCTATGCTGGTCTAGAAGTATAGCTCCATGGTATAGTATGAGCTTAGCAGGAACAAAGCCCTGAGCTGTACTCAATCCCAAGTATATGTACACACACGTACACATGTGCACACACTCAGGTATAAAAGATGACGCATGTTGTCATTTTTATGAAGTTCAAGGATAGGCAAAATTAATTTTGTGGTCTCACTATGTAGCCCAAGACTTGACCTCTCAATGCTAGGTTAGAGGCACGCACCCTCATGCCTAGCAAAAATGAACTGCTTACAGAAGGATGGCAGGGTTGGATGTGGGGAGAGACTGGGTAAGTGAGGACGAGTTTCGGGGTTCTGGCAGCGTGATGCGCACACCTGTGAGAGGTCAGCAAGCAGCTGGACCTCACTGTATCTGCCATCCCAGCCATGCAGAAGAGAAGGGCTCCCTGACTCTCCTTGGAGGCGGCCCCCAGCCCCAGTCAATCCTTAGAGGCTCTGCAGCCACATCCTTGGTAACGAAGGACAAGCTAGGGACTAGTACAGAAACTGCCCTGGACAATAAATCAACTATGAACTGCAGCTCCCTAAGTTATATTTTCCAAAAGAAACGAACATTTTTGTAAAAGCATCACTTTTGACAGGCCTAAAACAAGTGTAAACAGAGTTCATCAGGACCAAGACCCCTTCTGAAGCCCCTCACTCACTGTGGTGGGAGGACCAGCGTGGTGGGCTGAGACTTTGGTCGGCGCTTGGCAGACACACCCATCTGATTGGCAGAACGCTTCAAGGACTGCTGATTCAGGAGGCCGGATGCTAGACCTGCGTGGTACTGCAACTACAGGGAAGAAAAAGGAGGATAAGAGCGGGACAGAGACAGGATTGGTCAATACTTGATGGCCTTGCCCCCTTACCACACTCCAGGTTATTTCAAATGGCTCACATGCTCCTTCAAGGAATTTCTTCTTAAAGAGATAACTGATGATGAGGATAAATGAGGTGTACATGACAACATCACAGATGAGATGTGCATCTCATCACAACTTAGGAGAACTGGACACAATCATAACACCTAACCATGAACCTGGCAAATGGCTAAAACAGCAAAAGAACCTTACAACAGCACATGGTTAACAACAAAAGAAGCTGTGCTATAGGCAGACAGACTAAAAAAAGACACTCCAGAGAACACTAACAGTGTATTTCTAAATACTAGTTCAAATTTGGGTGTTTTTTTTTCTTTCTTCTTTACTTTTCACTCTTATTCACATAGGTCTTACACTAATGTTTTTAAAGTCTATGCCATTTTGTTAATAAGATCCAGAAGCTTTCCTTGGAGATAGAGATGATTCGGGGGACTCCTGCTATTACCATGTCTTACTTGTAATAAAACTGTGGAACTCACAGTCCACTACTGTACACCAGGACGCCTCAACACACCGTGAGTGAGCACCCAAACCCTTCTGCAGGGCTGAATTACTGGATGGGTAAGGTGCAATGCAAGTTCAGTCACAGGAAGGAGCTCATGAATATACCTGACAACAAAGTACAATGGCTTATGGGCTCACTGGAGAGTGTGATGGAGGAGTCCACTTGGTTTCCACTTCATGTGGCTAGACAGAGGCACAGGTGGGAAGAAGCCGCATCCTTTACACAGGCTCAGTGCCAGCATCCTTCCCTTTATTCCTAGACAGACTGCTGAGCACGGAGGTTACTCGGGACACATCATTCAACTCTGCAGCATTTCCACTTCTCCACTGGAGAAGTTCTAAACCAAATTAGCCTTTAAAAGATACACTATATTGACATACAGTTTGTATAAAATATAACACATATTTGAAAAGAGTTTTGACAAAGGGAGGTGTCTGTGTGAGCAAGACCTTAATAAAGATCTAGAAATTTTCTATCACTACAGAACCCTTGTGTCCCAACCCCTACCACAGGTATCTTTTGATTTAAAAAACAGCTATTCTCACTCATTGTCAAACAAGGCATCTATCTAATTTGATATGTGACAATGACTTTTACCTTCTTTTTTCAAACTCATGCTTTTGTATTTCAGGTCCTAAAAGTTGCCATCAATCTCTCTAAAATAAAATTAGCTTTGAAAGGTATCCCAAGTTTGAACAGATGTAAATAAAACATTCAAACATGCAAATGCCAAGCTAAGAATTTGGATTGAGACCATTTGTAACATCCAATATGTTTCCTCTTCTCTTCTCAAATTAAGTAAGGTCTTTCAAACACATATTTAGAATTAACTAAATATACAAATAGTAATTCATTCTCAAGCTCTGAGTCAATTTCTTCTCAAAATGCTCTTCCAAGGCATACATTTTCTTTGCCGAGTCAGCTACATTACAGCTCATGGCAATGAAAGTGGTGACCACCATATATAAAGGGCCGAGCCCTGAATGCAAAGGGTAATAACAATCTGAAAAACAAATGGTCTCACTCAAAGCCATGGAGCTGCACACGAATAGAGAGTGAGAAAACAAAGCCAATCGAAATGATGCACTCCTTCCAAGTGGCTATAAAAATGAAGCTACTCAGTGACCCAGCAAGACTCGAATGGCTGTGTCTGGAGCATCCATATTGCTTCTGAGCAGGCTCCTGATTTACTTGGCTGGTTATTGTGGGAGCCTATGGCTGTCTAATACAAGACAGAGATGTATCACCTTCATAATAAAAACAGAGGACTTCTTGTGGGGGGGGGGGAAAAGGGGGGCATAATCTGGTTCTAACAACTCATCTTAGACCAATGAATTTTGCTCAAATTTGGTTTTCTTGTACAGATTCCTCAAATGGGAAATCAATGGAAGCAAGGGACAGTACAAGTTTGAAAGACAATGTTTCAAAATGTCAGCGGCTTGGTTTCGATCTCCCCCCAGAATGTGCAATGAGTGCAATATGCACAGGGCTTTCTGGAATTAAAGGGAAAGACAGCTTGGCAGGACCCTCCTGCTCGAGCTACCCCCTCTCCCTTCGGCTCTCCTCCTTCCTTGTCCGTGCAAGCTCAGCCCTTCCAGTCCTGCTGACTGAGAGGTGGAGTCTGCTAACGATGCAAGGGAGGGAGGTTGCCCACCTGGCATCACATGGATCTCTGCTCAAACAAAAACACAGCAGCAGCAGTGTGCACTGACTGGCGTCCATCCCTCTCACGGGGGTCCTCAGAAGCTCTGCCACACTGCTCCAAGAGCACATGTGGTGGGAGAGCTCCTCTTCCCCCAACAGTCTGCCTTTACATGCTGACTCATAATGATTAAGTGGCATTTGTTAATCATATATACGGATCCCAGCTTCCAGGAACAGGGCTCCGACTGTCAAGATCTATAAGGGGCCCATTAAATATTAACAGAACCACCTTTGTAATGGGAGAAGAGGTCAAAGTTAATAAAACTGACAGGCAGCTCCTGTCTAACTAGATTTCTACGTTATTTAAGCAGCAAATACTCCAACTCATGCAATACCATTTAGAGCTGAAAAGACTTTTGGAAAATGTTCCTTCAGCCAATGGTTCGAAAACAGCAGAAGGGAGTTCAGAGCAAATCCACAAATTAACATTAAGAACACATCACGCCACAGAACTCTGCCATAAGCTTTCAATTACAGGTTCTGTAATATTTTCTATAAAAGTGTATTTCAATAAACACACTCCTCGCCAAATGTCTGTGCCATAGAAACAACTCCATTTCAAAAAAAGCAACTTATCAAAGCTCCAATGTGATTTCTCTCTCCAACAGCATTTTCCCCACTAACCAGCGAGAAGAAGCAAGTGGGAGAGGAAGAAGGCAAGTGCTTTTTTTGGCTTTCGCATCTACTACCCTGGTGGTGGGTGCGCCTGTGGGGCAGGGGTCTTCATTTGCCTGGAGCTCCCAGTGCACTGGAAAAGCCGCTCAGGGGCTCAGTCTTTTCTGAGTGTAGAGAACTGTTTATTTCAGCCCTCTATCTAATTTAATGAGTGGCCCAAGATTTTTCTATCAGTTTTCAACGTAAGACAATAATCAATTCTATCTGCTAATCTCTATATCTGGGGAGATACAACAACTCATGATGATCTGAAGCAAAGACCAATGAGTACTGGTCTAATATTTTTAAAGTAATGCTCAGTGACACACTCAACATGTTTGGGGTAGGGTCCTGACAAGCTAATGTGCAGACTGAAGTCTCTGGAAGCTTCCTCTTGGGAAATGGGTTCTGGGCTGTGTTACTAATGAGAGCTATGTGATTTCACACATGCCACCTTTGGTTCTAGAAAATACGCACAAAGCCGGGTGCCAGTGGCTCAAGCCTGTCATCCTGGCTGCTCCGGAGGTTGCGATCTGCGGATCATGGTTCAAAGCCAGCCCAGGCAGGAAAGGCTGTAAGACTCTTATCTCCCATAAACCACTAGAAAACCGGAAGTGGTGCTGTGGCTCACGTGGTAGAGCACTCGCCTTGAGCTGAAGAGTGCAAGGACAGAACCCAAGCCCAGAGTTCAAGCCCCACAACCGGAAAAAAAAAAAAAAAGAGAAAAAATGCACAAGTTCTAGGATTGGATTCCGTCATGTTCTAAAGATTAGAGGGCACAAAGCTCTGTGGTAAAGAGGAGATGTAATGAGGCTAGGAATGTGGCTCAGTGGTAGAGCACTTGCCTCACATGCATGAGGCCCTGGGTTCAATTCCTCAGCACCACATAAACAGAAAAAGCCGGAAGTGGCACTGTGGCTCAAGTGGTAGAGCGCTAGCCTTGAGCTGAAGAGCTGAGGGACAGCACCCAGGCCCAGAGTTCAAGCTCCACGATCAACAACAAAAACAAAAAAAAAAAAAAAGAGAGAGAGAGAGAGAGAGAGAGAAGTAATGGCTTCACAGTATTCAAACTGTCTCCCTTGGAAAGCCTTAAGTTTTTATGGAATCTCCAAAGAGTTGAAATTACTGAGGTCAAAATTTGTTTTAACATGTTTTGAATGATAAATAATACCATATAAGGGAAGAAAACTACATGAAAGTAATAAAAACAGGATTAAAATGCAGAAAATCAAATGAGCCACCATTCCCCAGCTATGAGAGGTCTCTGCTTGCTTTATGCTTCCACACTTGCTCCAAAACAGACATTTAAGGAAATGTTCCATAACGGAACAAAGCAGGGCCTGCTGGAAACTGCCCACCCTTCCCATGTCCATGCACTGATTAGGCCGGTGAAGCAGGCTTGTCAAAGCTGCAGATATGCACCAGCTTCCTGGGGTCCGTGTCAGCATCTCACCACACGCAAACTCTTTCTACCCATGCCATATGGCTTGAATCACACTTTAAGATAATCTGACATTCAAAATTCTCAAAACTTACAAGCAAGATCAATCAAGATTTGCTTCCTCCTACAGTAAAAATCCTTCCAAAGAATTCATCAAAGTTGTCTTTTTGTTTGGGGTGGAGGAAGCCCTCCTAACCCTAAGGTATGATTCGCTTCATTTTTAAAATCACTTTACATGTAAGTTTCTAAGAACACTGGCAGAACACACTGGCACCACTAATGAGCAAAGCCTACGCACAAACAACAGCATACAGCTTAAAACAGAGGGCACGGGACAAGCAACAGAGGGCAGGAGGGCAGGGAGCCTGTCCTCTAGGAATTCCCACGTTACTATGCTGGTTCTTGGTCAGAGTCCCAGGAGGCTCATCTCAAAGGTGAAGACCTGGTTATCAATTCTCTGTGTTCTTCAACATCCAGTCTCTGTGCACAGAGACTCCTAACCGTGTCAACTGGCAGACATACTGGCAGGTTAGTGCAGCTGCAGGCCCTGGCCTGGCACAGACACCAACCTAGAGTGCAAACTGGCTCTGTTCAGCAGTCCTATAAGC